AGAAAGTGAATTATTCAACCATAAACGTACTTTTGTGCCAACCGTAGGTGATACGTTAGTTAATTTGGTTCTTTTTGCCCCATATTGTGATTGTTCATCTCAGAAGATCCACATGAGTAACTCATAAGTTCTTGTGTTTTTGAATGAAAAGAAATTGTCACCAAATGTGGATTAAACCAGTTAATAATTTATCCCCATCCATATGCTAAACAGTTTTACTTCAAAGTAGATGACAGCTCAAGAAGCATAACTCATCACAAGGCAAATAGACATTAGTGAGAAAAAGTCATGAGTCAGAGGAAAGACTTATTTCTGTTCATTTGGCATGGCAGATGACGTCCGTCTTTCTAAAAACACACACGGCCTGATTACCTCACACCAGAGATAATGAAAGAAGATTGATTCAGCCACTCATCTAATGGACAGTAAACCACCATTGGTGAGATCAGGCCTTAAAGGAACAGTCCATGCAAAAGGTAATTCTATTAAAAGTCTGATAGTAGTTGTGGATGAACCATAGTTGAATGGAAAAGAGCTACTTGAACATTGTTCACAATATATCATCTTTTGTTTTGTGTAAAAAAAAAAAAAAAAAATGGAACACAGGATTGGAACGACATGAGGGAGATTAAATTTAGTTTTGGATAAACTGTCCATTTAAATGTGTATACATTTACTACAGCTAAGTAAAAACTATCAAGTCTAGTGTGGTCAGCAGTGGATGAACAGTATGTTAATTTCCTCATGGCAGAATAAATCACTGCCTCCTGCAGTTCCATCACATTTCATTTCGCCCCTGCCTCATTATGTCCTGACTGTTGTTTTCTAGCTGCCGTGTGGCTGAAAGTAATGGTGTACTGTTCCACAGTCAGTGAAACACAGAGGAGTGTATTGGATTAGCTATGTTGACAGGTTTAGTGTGGCCCATTACCTTACTGATCTCTGTCAGAATCACAGCCTACTCAGTTCAGCGTTGAGGCTGACTGATTTTACCATTACCCACAATTCTCTAATAAAAGTGCTTTCGCTCTTTGAGTGTCTTGCTTGTTGCCAGGAATTGTAAAAAAACAAAAAACAAACATATAATAGGAGATTGAGCTTTTGGCAGTTGTGCTTTTGTTTCCCATGTTGTGATTCATTTGGGTTGCTGCAGCATTCTATCTTTGTACCCTGTGTCTTTTAACAACCATCTTGAGGCAAATTTTCACGAGATTTATTCTTCAGGAAGATTTATATCTATCATCATTCTGTCATTCTGTGTCTTTTGTTCTAACGCTCTATATATTGCTCTATGTTGTTCTGTCTATCTTTTTATCTAACTATTATTATATTTTGATCTTGTTCTATCATTCTTTCTATTATTCTGTGTCTGTTTGTCTGTCTGTCTATCAGTCCATCTGTCGGTTTGTCGTTTTATCTGTCAGTCTCATCCATCCGTCCATCCGTCCGTCTGTCCGTCCGTCTGTCTGTCTGTCTGTCTATCAGTCCATCTATCGGTTTGTCGTTTTATCCGTCAGTCTCATCCATCCATCCATCCAATGTCATCGTTCTGTCATTCCGTATCTATCATTATGTTGTTCTGTCTATCTTTCTATCTAACTATTGTTCTATCATTCTTTCTATAATTCTATGTGTCTGTCTGTCTTTCTGTCTGTCTGTCCATACATCGGTGTGTCGTTTTATCTGTCAGTCTCTGTCTGTCTCATCCATCCATCCATCTGTCTGTATCTATCTATTGTTCTCTCATACTGTGTCTGTCTATCTATACAATTCTGTCTGTTCTCTCTGTTTTTCTCTCATAAATCTATTTATCCGTCTGTCCAACAACAAAAAAGTGCTTCCACCATTAAACCCACCAATTCTGAATACCTGACTTCCAGAAAGGTTCCCTTGTGGTAATTTTGACATTGGTGGCACTCATGTGCACTCATCTCATAAATACGATTATTCTGACGTGATTTGAAGGCAGCATATGTTCAGCCCCTCTTTGTGAAATTGTGGCTCTGGGAAGCCTTTACACAGTCAAGTAGGTGTTGTTTCAGTTACTCTCAGAGATTAGGGTTCAACTAGAGAGCGCCGTTCTAGACCATTAGCTTATTGGAGGCCCGTAGCTTTATTGTGCACTGTTTGTAAGGCTGCACTCAACGTTGTCTAATTTCTCGAAACCAAAAAGTAATTTCGAAGGAAACACATTTATAGAACTCGCCCCTTGACATATTGCGTCTGCCGTCAATCCATTGCATTCTCACGGCGTAGCGCTGAAGCATCTCTCATTGATTGTCCAGAGGAAGACCTTTATATTAAGGAACACAGGGGAGAGATATGCTTCCATCCTGACAACAGAGGATGAAATTACATTCGTGTCTCCAAAGACTCTTTCAGTTCGGAAGAACAAAGACCATTCATAATGATAGTCGGCGAGCATGGCAGTGCAATGATCGACTCCAGTGTTGAGGGTTTTGATGTAGTACAAGTCAAAAAGCTTGAAAGTACATGTCTCCCTCTCTCTTTCTGTATGGTTGTTTCTTTTTCACTCTGCAATGGAACTTTTCATCAAGTAGCTTTGGATTTGGTGATGAGATTTGATATCTGGATGACAACAAGTTATATTTTTGTTGTTATTGGCTTTTCAAAATAGCCTCTGTGTTTTGCAAAGCCATGTCCTGATACCCGAAATCTGTCAAGATTGTATCAGATGCCGAAGACTAGCTTGTGCTGAGCTGATGTTCATTCGGATCTGATGTCAATTGTTTATTTTTGGAAATGCACTTATTTGCATTCACGCAGTATATCTGTCGATGACGTCAAATGACTTTTTTCTTTTTTTTTTGTATCACCAGTTCTGAGTACTGGGAAATAAACATGCCACAGAACTGAAAACAGAAAAATTACAATTATGTTTTTGTGCAACCAAGTTTGTGTGTGTGTGTGTGTGTTTTCCTTGATTATTAGCAGACCCATATGAATCTGTACCTGCATAATTTTCACAAAATCAAAACACTTAAATTCCACACATGTGTTTCTTGATTAAATATGTATTATTTTTCATGAAATATTAAATAGTTATTAATTTTTAGGTAGTTTTAAATATTCATTTTTGTTTTCTAATTAATATTCATTGCTATTTATTACATTTTTAGGCTAACTAGATTATGCTGTTAGCTACCAATAAGGCTGTTGTTCTCATTAACACATTTTATTAGGTTTAAATCAGTTCAGCAGAGTTTCACAGTGTCAGAATCAGAATTGTGCCTGCCTGTTTCTTAATATGGGCCAACAAAAAAAAGAAATTCAGATACAAAAAAAAACAACAACCTTGTACTGTAATGTTATATTCAAAACTTTGCCTCTTGTTTCACAACTTAACACACAAATCTAAGAATTGCACACAAAATGCAAAATGCCTCACATCTCTTGCAAAATGAAGCACTGCATTCAAAATATCACAAACACATCTCAAAAGCAAACATTTGCAAACACCTTTGCCATAATATTAATTCCTGTTAGATTTTTGTGTGTTACATAGAGAATTGTGTGTTGTGTTTTGAAAAAAAGTGTTTTATGAAATTGAAAACTGAGGCAAAGGCCGAGAATTAGTGTATGGTTTTGTATGGTTCTGGTGTTTGAGTGTCAGGTTTCAGAAATTGTGTGACAAGTAAAGATTTTGTGTGTAAGCAGTTGGAAAAAAAAAAAAAAAAAAAAAAAAAAAACCAAAACAGGGTAGTGTGTCATGGCAAAAAGAATGGCTGAAAAGCAGAGAAAAGCATGGACTTTCTGTTCTTCATAAAGAACTCGAG